AAAAGAGAATATCTTACAGAGCTGGAATTATTTGTCAAAGGTCAGGTAAATGGGACGAGATACCCGTATGTACAGCTCTTATCAAATTGCGTAATAGGCCGGGGCGGTGGCTCGCGCCTGTCCCCAGCACTCGTGGGAGGCCGAGGGGGAGGATCGCTCGAGGTCAGAGTTCGAGACCAGCCTGAGCAAGAGCGAGACCCCCGTCTCTACTATAAATAGAAAGAAATTAATTGGCCAACTAAAAAATATATAGAAAAATTAGCCGGCGTGGTGGTGCATGCCTGTAGTCCCAGCTAGTTGGGAGCCTGAGGCAGGAGGATCGCTTGAGCCCAGGAGTTGGAGGTTGCTGTGAGCAAGGCTGACGCCACGGCACTCACTCTAGCCTGGGCGACAGAGTGAGACTCTGTCTGAAAAAAAAAAAAGAAAGAAAGAAAAGATCAGCAGTAAGAGAGAAACCGGAAATGCAGATTTTGGAGTCCTTTTTTTGGCATATGGAAGGCAGTTGAAGCCACGGGAGTAGACGATACTATCTAAGAAGAACATGAGATGTGAAAGGAGGGGACCCGAGATGGAACCCCACAAAGCACCCCCATCAGTATGGCAAGTAAAGGAACGAGCAGAATACTTGAGTTTTGAGTGCCTCCTCTTGGGGCTTTAACATCTTGTCGCGCTGAAATGTCCCAAGAAATCTATAAGGTGGATCGTTTTGTCTCTCCTTTCCGCACCAACCCCCTCAAAGTGAAATGGAATTAGAAGTGCAGGAGGAGAACTTAGGGGAAATTAGGAAGTGGGATTTTCATCAGGGCAAAATGTTGCTAGTGGATCGAATAGGGGAGGAAATGTGAAAAAAAATTGTTTCACACAATTGATCCATCAATATTTAGCCAAAATGGAGTCATATGGAATTTGATAATTGAATTTTTATTACTTGCTCTTATACTTCCTATTTGAAAGGGAAAGAAAATCAGCAACACAATAAACAAACCCCTCAGGTAAGCAGCTGGGAAACAAGGCCGAGTGTGTTCTTTTGCTGTTGTTATAACTATAAAAACTTTATTTCATTCTTACTTTAATTGAATCTTTATAAGCACCATGTCATGAACTGGCAGTCTAGAAAAAGGACGCTGGAATGCTTTAGTCAGTAACAAACTACAAGCTGATGATGTGAAGTTACAGCTACATGGAGCATGTGAACTTGAGAATCCCGTGACAATGCACAAAACAGGAATCTGGCATTGATTTGCTCACACTTTCTATGGCCAGAACCCAAAGCTTGTGCGTGTAAACATCAAGACAAACATTTTATCACCTTGACAGTTTACAGTTTGCTAAAAACTTGACCCTGAAAGCATAAATGTTGCCATCTTGTTTTCTTGACCAGTGCTTTGCTTGGCCACAGGCTGAAAAGATAGATTCCTTTAAAATTTAAATGATGCTTAAAGGCTGTGTTCAACATTTTGCAAGTCATCAGCGAGGCCTTTAAAGTCTTGCTTGGTCTGCATTAATAATACTTACAGGCAGCATGAAAAGGAGCAAAAGTGTTGGCTAAGGGTACTGTAACTGTCTTGGAATAGTTACCTGTAGCCTTTTTTTCCTTCCTCACCTAAAGTTCTTAAATGAAAGAGAGCTGACTTGCTGTGAACCAAGATCTCCTGTTAAAAAAACCAAGGATGAATTAATCGGCCAACTAAAAATACATAGAAAAAATGACCCGGGCATGGTGGCGCATGCCTGCAGTCCCAGCTACTCGGGAGGCTGAGGCAGGAGGATCGCTTGAGGCCAGGAGTTGGAGGTTGCTGTGAGTGAGGCTGATACCATGGCACTCTAGCCCGGGCAACAGAGTAACACTGTGTCTCAAAAAAAAAGAAAAAAAATTAATAATAAAAAAAAACAAGGATGAGAACAAAATGATGAGTTTGACCCTTGGAAAGAACTAGTGACAAATACCTTTTAGTGAGAGAGCAAAGAAGCATAAAGAATGTTTTTAGTAAAATCTTTTATTTCATTTATATTTTAAACGTAATTTAAAAAATTTATAAGCCAAGAAATTTGATAATATGAAAGCAAGGAGAAACTAAGCTGGACCACTTAGTAAAATCCAGAAACAGTATTCCTTTAAAATAAGTCAGAACTTTGATTAAAAAAAAAACATTATGATCAATTGTAATTAAACATATCCATCATATTTCATTTGCAAAAGATGGTGTAGTTACTGAAGCTGAAGATGTTTCTTCTGATTTAGTCACTTCACAAAGAGCTCTTCACCTGTAAACGACACACCAAGAACAGTTTTGTATTTTCTCAATCTACTTTTTTTTTTTTTTAATTTTTAGTAAACTTGTAATTGCAATCATTTTAGGTGTACAGAAAGATTACAAAGAAAGCACAGAGAGTTCTCATATACCCTGTACCCAGTTTCCCGGTTGGTTTAACATCTAACATTACTATGGTAGGTTTGTCCCAACTAAAGAACCAACATTAGGCCGGGCGCGGTGGCTCACGCCTGTCATCCCAGGCACTCTGGGAGGCCGAGTGGAGGATCCTCGAGGTCAGGAGTTCGAGGACCAGCCTGAGGCAAGAAGCGAACCCCGTGTCTACTGATAATAGATAAGAACATTAATTGGCCAACTAAAAATATATAGAAAAAGTAGCGGGGCATGGTGGCGCATGCCTTGAGTCCCAGCTAGTTTGGGGAGGCTGAGGCAAGGAGGATCGCTTGAGGCCCAGGAGTTTGAGGTTGGCTGTGAGCGATGGCTGACGCACGGCGCTGGGCACTCACTCCGTAGTCTGGAAACAGAGTGGAGACTCTGTCTCCAAAAAGAAAAAGAAACCAATATTGGTCTATTACTCAGTCACAGCTCTATAGCTTTTATTCGGAATCCTCAGTGTTCACCTAAATGTGCTTTTTCTATTCCAGGATCCCATCCTGAGTACCACGTTAATGACATTTAGTCGTCCTATTTCCTTGGGTTCCTCTAAACTGGGACAGTTTCTCAGGCCTTCGTTGCTTTTCATGGCCTTGACAATACGAGGAGTACCTGTCAGGTATTTTGAAGAATGTGTTTCAACTTAGCTTTGCCTGATGTTTTTCTCGAGGTCGGATTGGAGGTTTGGGGAGGAAGTCCACAGAGATGTTACCAAGGGTGCGAACTATCAGTGTGACTTCATCACTGGTGGCGTTGACGTTGACAGCCTGCCTGAAGTGGTTCTGCCAGTCTCTCCCTTACATGGTTACTCTCCTGCCTGCCCCCCTTTTCACCCTGTAATTTCGTCAACCCTTTTTCTTAGCAGGGAGCATGTTTTCTGTTGCTTTTATATGTCACCATACTCTGGTCATTTACAAGTGGTGAGGGCTTCATTGCTAGACCAGCAGAATTCTGAGTTTAGAAAATTCACCATTCCTTTATTTACTAAAACATGATTTCAAATTATAGAACCATCTTCTTCATAAGAAGTAATCAAAATCGATCTTTAGGCCGGGGCCGCAGTGGCTCACGCCTGTAATCCCAGCACCGTGGGAGGCCGAGGCGGGAGGATGGCTCAAGGTCAGGAGTTCGAAATCAGCCTGAGCAAGAGCGAGACCCCCACCTCTACTAAAAATAGAAATTAATTGGCCAACTAAAAAAAATATATATAGAAAATTTAGCCGGGCGTGGTGGCGCATGCCTGTAGTCCCAGCTACTCGGGAGGCTGAGGCAGGAGGATCGCTTGAATCAAGGAGTCTGAGGTTGCTGTGAGCGAGGCTGACGCCATGGCACTCACTCTAGCCTGGGCAACAAAGCAAAACTGTGTCTCAAAAAAGAAAACATTTTTTAGCCATAAAGCATTTTTTTTCTTTTTTTTTTGATATAAAGTATTTTTTAATTAAGGTGTGTACATTGCTTTCAATTAAGGTGTGTACATTATGGCATTAGTCATCGTGCTACTGTACACCTAATAGACTGCACTGTAGCACAGTGTAAACATGACTCTTATATGCACTTGCAAATCAGCCCGTCCGTGTGGCTTGCTTTATTGGACTGCCCTGGAACCGAACCCGCAATATCTCCGAGGTATTCCCGTACTTGTGGGCATCCGTGCACCTCCCATGCGTGTTGGTTTTCCTTCTCTGCAGAACCCTGAGCAATAGACACTCCCACTATATAAGGTGAAGCAGGCGTAATGCAACGTGCGTGTGTGGAAAGTTCGAATCCCGCACTGACTCCCTTTCTACTGCTGGTGCCTTTATCCAGGTGAATTACTCTACCTCTTAAAATTTCAACGTCCTCATCTACAAAATGTTGTGGACCTTCCCACTCTGCAGGGCTGGGGTGAGGATTAGGGAGGTAACCTGTGTCATGCATCCGGGGCATGGTGGTTCTAAATAATCCTCTGCCATTGTATGACAGGCTGTGCAAATATGAGACGTATTTATTTTGTGGGGTGTTTTCAACAGAAACCCACAGGAGGTCACGTAACCAAAGGATCTGTTGCTACAACTGAATACAAGATTGCACATACTGTGTTTCCCCGGAATATAAGACAAGGTCTTGTATTTATTTTTCCTCAAGAAGACACCCTAGGCCTTATTTTCAAGGGATGTGTTTTTTTTTTTGTTTTTTTTAACGACGGTGCAACCATCTGCATTGATTCAAATAGAGTGAGGTCGTCTTCTTCTGGAACATCATCCTCACTCTCCAGACCCCGAATCCCATCCTGAATGTCTTGCGACTCTGTTTCCTTTAGAGCCACCGGCCCCGATCTCTCCTGTCGAGCACTAGAGCTCTCACGGGGCGGATGAGAAGGGCTGCTCGTGTTCTTTCCCGCTCCGCGACGACACGCATGGGTTGTGCAGATGCGCTGCGCAGCCACGCCCGTCACTAGGGCTGATTTCCATAGCCACGCCCACCACTAGGGCTGATTTTCATAGCCACGCCCACCACAGGGCTGATTTTCATGGCCACGCCCATCAGCAGGGCTGATTTTTATAGCCACGCCCACCACTAGGGCTGATTTTCATAGCCACGCCCCTCACCAGGGCTGATTTTCATAGCCACGCCCACCACAGGGCTGATTTTCATAGCCACGCCCATCACTAGGGCTGATTTTTATAGCCACGCCCACCACTAGGGCTGATTTTCATGGCCACGCCCATCACTAGGGCTGATTTTCATAGCCACGCCCACCACTAGGACTGATTTTCATAGCCACACCCGTCACCAGTGCTGATTTTCATAGCCACGCCCACCACTAGGACTGATTTTCATAGCCACGCCCATCACCAGTGCTGATTTTCATAGCCATGCCCACCATTAGGACTGTTTTCATAGCCACGCCCATCACTAGGGCTTATTTTCGGGGTGGGGCTTCTATTGGGCAGGTGGTTAGACATCCTGCTGGGGCTTGTTCTATGGGGACGGCTTGTTTTCGGGGAAACACGGTAGTAGGAAACTGTCACCGGTCAGAGTCAGGTGACAGATGCCAGCCAACGGTCTCCACGTTTAGGATCGTCATCCTGAAGGGGGTTGCAGGTGGGAACGCTGCAGGACCGTAGGAGACTCACGGGGATGCCGTATCGGGTCCGGTAGAGAGTCCTCATGGCGACAGATGTCCCGCACAGGCAGCATTCGTTCATGTCACTGGCGACTTGACACCCCAGGCACACGAAACAGAACGATGCGCAGAGACCTGGACACGGGACGGGGAGGGTGTGTGTGACTGCTCCGCTCTGCCCCCACCCCGGCTGGAAGGTAGCTTGCTGTCATGCACCGCAGCTCAAATCTTGGGGAAACATCTTTAATATATTTCTTTTTTTTTTTTTTTGAGACAGAGTCTCGCTCTGTCACCCGGCTAGAGTGGTGCCGTGGCGTCAGCCTGGCTCACAGCAACCTCCACCCTGGCCTCAAGTGATCCTCCTGCCTCACCTCCTCCTGCGTAGCTGGGGACTAGGCATGCGCCACCATGCCGGCTAATTTTTCTGTATATTTTTAGTTGCCCAATTCATTTCTTTCTATTTTTATTAGAGACCGGGTCTCGCTCTTGCTCAGGCTGGTTTCCAGCTCCTGACCTCGAGGGATCCTCCCACCTCGGCCTCCCAGAGTGCTAGGATGACAGGCGTGAGCCACCGCACCCGGCCTTTTAGTATTTCTGTTTGGGTTTGGTCAGATTCTCCCCTCACCCTCAAAGCATTTCAGGAATGACTGCACCTTGGAAAGGCGTGTGTCATTCTTTTCGTAGCACTGTCTTCATTCATTCATTCATTCATCAGATTCCCTGCAACCTACCCTGTTCCAGACATTACCCTCCATACAGACGATGCCCCCAAGCGAAGTCTAGTAGGGGCTGGGCGTGGTGGCTCACACCTGTCATCCTGACACTCTGGGAGGCCAAGGCTGGAGGATAGCTCAAGGTCAGGAGGTCAAAACCAGCCTGAGCAAGAGCGAGACCCCATCTCTACTATGAATAGAAAAGAAACTAATTGGACAACTTAAAATATAGATAGAAAAAATTAGCCGGGCATGGTGGCGCATGCCTGTAGTCCCAGCTACTCGGGAGGCTGAGGCAGGAGGATGGCTTGAGCCCAGGAGTTGGAGGCTGCTGTGAGCGAGGCTGAAGCCACGGCACTCACTCTAGCCCGGGCGACAAAGAGAGACTCTGCCTGAAAAAACAATAAATAAATAAACAAAAAGTCTAGTAGGGAAGACAGATGACAGGTAAAGTTCCCCAACAAAAACCTGCTAAAGGTGCCATCGTGTCACCTACAGAAATGACTTCTATGTGTCTCTGGGTATAAAATGCTGCTTGAGCCGAATAGTGAAGCAGCATGAAGTGCTTTGAAGGTGGACAAAAGGTAAAAAGAGAGTCTTTGAGATAGTTTGGCGGGTTCTGGCAAAGGCTAGTAGTGTTCATTCAGTGCAGCCGGAGCCCCGGGGTGGGGTGGCGACTTAGCCAGGGGCTGAGGCAGGTGGGGAGTCAGATCGTGAGGAACTGTGAGTGTTCAGGGTTTGTCACCAAAGTCAGGAGGAACCACTCAAGTGTTTTAAGAGGGGAGAATGCTTTGGCCAGATCTCCATTTCAGAAAATCTTGCTACGAAACAATGAAGCTTGTATTAGACCTTGTGTGTTCCTTCGATGGGGTAATAATTGTCATTGTGACTTGCAGATGTTGAACGGGCTCCCCTGAAAGGCTTCGGTAATTAAGCGGTCTCCTAGGTAATTTTCCCTTTCTGTGCCTCTCAGTGTAATGATTAACTGAATTCATTTTCAAGTTCAAGTTCAACTGGCACGTTAAAAGTTAATGTATTTTCCTTCCTGGTCCAAGAACATTCTATGTGGGCTTGAGACAGGCAAGTAGACTTCTAGGCAAATTTGTTGTAGGTGGATTTCATTCTTGCTCAGCATTGAGAACTAAGCGGATCCTCTCTCTGCAAGCCCCATCTCCTCCCAAACTTCCTTTCCTCCCAGTTCCCTTAGAAAGATTTCTAGATGAGAGATCTCTTAGAGAGATCCCACTTAGAGAGATTGTATAGAAAGAAAACAGGTCAGAGATATTCCCCACCCCCCC